CATACTTAAAAATTACTCCCTAAAGCTCATTACTTTTCAGGATAAGGCATTACCTTGGTATGTGAGGTAACACCAAGACAAGGAGCTGAGTTACTCAGTGTTAGTCTCTTCATTATCATAAGTGCTATGTTTGCAGTGCTTTTCTTTTTTCACTAAAATGAACTTCAGTGGTGGTTGGAAACTGTTTCTAGGTTTTAAATAGCTCTACCTCCAGATACTTGTTTTGGATGACAAGTGTTGGGTAGGAGTGGGTCTGTGACATAACACTGATTTCCTATCCTAGTAGAGTAAGATCTGGTAGTTGCTTTCAAATGTGCTCCCTCAACTCCCTCCAGCTTTCCTTTCCCTGAATTCTAGTCCCTGCAGGTGTGCAGGATCATCTCAGCTGGGCAGTGTCTCTCTGCCCATGTAAGCAGCAGACAAGGGGCACAGCATCTCACCTGAGGGATAGCCAGTGGGTCTATTTTCAGAGCTACTGTTCTCAGGTTTAAACTGGGACAATTTCAATATCCGAGCCAGTATTACTGGAATCCCTGTGTTCTCCTCTGGTCAGCTGAGTGTCGAGGATCATATCAGATGGATATGCTTCAAGAGTGCGTGAGCACGTGAGAGTTTGTGACCTGGGTTATGGTTGGTGATGGAGGGATGTGTGAAGAGCAGGGGAGAAGTATTTGGATTTTGGAAAAGTTGTGGCTTCCCCCAGCCTGCCAAGTCAGTGAGTAACCATAGAGACTTCCTCCTGTGCCCCAGGTTCACTCATAATCTAGATTTTTCTTCATTCATGAATAAATGTAAGGACTTTGCAGAGGGTAGCACCTCTGTGAACTGTCACATACATGGTCTCTCTTACGGGCATATGCCAAAATAAGATGGAAAGAAAGGGCCGAAAGCCCACCCTGCTCAGTTTTCTGTGCCAAAAAAATGTATTAATGGACTCTTTCTTAGGAGTTTTGCTTACAGCTAATCAGTTTGGAGGGGACTCTAGAAGAACTGATGCCCATTGACAAAAATATTTTTGTTTAGTATGGCACATGTAAAATTGCTTCAGCTAACGTCTTCACAAGTTATGTTTGTAGTGACATTAAACCAGCTGGCCTTATTAAAAACAAAATATTCAAGAAAATTATAATCCTCTGCCATAAAAATGTTCTTGCACTGAACTGAATCAGTAGTCATGCTGATGTACGTCAGGGGATTTAATAGCCTTGCCTAGCGGAAGAGGTTATCAAATCTCCGAAGAAGAATAAGCATGTTGGCCACTAGTCCTAATTCAATTTGTTATGGATCTAATTGGTTCCAAATAAATTTATACTGTTTACACCTATACACCTATTTATATGTCGGTTTGTTTCTACTACTGTATTATACAGAAAGTAATACTGTCAGTGAAAAAGAAAGAGCTGCTTTCCATACTTCTGTGCATTTTCTGATGTAACTATAAAACATGAGGATAGTTGAATAAAACTGTTAGGTATTTGTTACATTGTAATGTTTCCTAAGTGCTGATTTTATGGAGGATGACAGATGCATCTGCTTAATTAAGCAGAATCATTTAATGGAAGAACTGCATTTTTGAATGTTGATTTTATATTTTACGAATGGTGGTATTGGATTTAAGGTACCCAAACCCTAAGAAATTTAAAATAAAAACCAATTATTTTTCTAATTTCATCCAAGCTTGTCTCACATTTGATGCTTTTAATGGTTTTGTGATTTCTCTCATTATCTGTTAAGTGATAGTGTCTTTAAGCTAGTATTTTAACCATTATCTCATAATCCCTTTTAAATATTGCTCAGACTTCATTAGAAAGCTATAGAGATCTGATTTTTTTTTTCTCATCTGTGTTCATTCTTACTGGGATGCTCTTTGAAAACCTCATTCGTGTTGTGGTTAGAAACACTTCTGTTATTTTTAGCCTCCATTTATTCATGGCCAGGGTTTCCTCACTTGTTCTTGTGACAACATTCTCATTGGGTTTAAATAGGTCTTAATTTTCTCTTGAACTCACTCTGTTTAAACCTCAGATGTATGTTGAGATATTAGTTGTTTCCTAAGGTTTTATTTTTGTTGTTGTTGTTAGGCTGAACAAGACAAGTTCTGCTTATCTTTAAAAACAGTCTTTCATTCTCTAGGTCATCCCGATAGCCGAGCTCTACTCTGAATCAGTCTTTTGTGAAAATAACTGAGCAAGTTATATGCTAGATCAGGGCTTACAAGGTATCCAGCTTCCCTTCCTTCCAGATGATAGTGCCCATGGGCTTTTGGTCATTAGTGCACTTGATTGCCATGGGTCTGCTTTGTTGAAGCAAGAACATTATTCCTATTGGCATTTCCCCTGTATTCATTAATTAGCTGTGCTAACGGCCTGCCTTGAGGCTATGCTTCCCCCTTCTTCACAAACCACTGTCATCTCCCCCTTGGCCAATATCCTAATTGCAATCTTATCCTGTGAATTTTTTCTATATATCTTATCTGTTGCTCTAGAGCTGCAGGTGGGTGAGATTTACAGCACTTGCTTTATCCAGAAAGTGATATATCTTGAAATAGCTCTCTGCAGGAATAAAATCATTAACTATTGTGGAGCACGTATGTTGGTAGGTTGCTTTTCCTTCTCATAGTCCTCTTAATTTCTTTTATTTCTTATATTAATATCACCATAGTGTGGTGTCTAGCAAAAGCCACTAGAAGAACCCATTACTTTGGCATGGAGGTCACTTACAGTGTATCTGTTATGACTGTCAGGCCATTAATATTAATTGGAAAGTATAGTAACAGGTATTATAACAACTTAATAATCTTAATTCTGCTGTTCAAATGAACATGGAGCAATTTGTGTTCCTTCTTACTGAATTCAGCCAATGAATTTGCATACAGGGAGGCTGAAGTGATGGCACTTCTAATCAGGGGACTCGATTAGAAGATACTGGCATAAAGAAATATCCTTCCCTACTCACTTCAGAAACCCAATTATGTCCTTTAACTTTTTTCTTTTATGGTCTGCTCTGCAAGTTTGAACACCGTATGATACAATTTAGAACTGCTCTAGTGCATCGTTAATATCAGCTCAGCATGCTGTTCAGCATCATCTTAAATCCATAGTTGATTTGTGCCTCTCTCACACCAGTATGTACCTAGGTGAAATATACAGTCTGAAAGGAACTCATAATATTCAGCAAGGCATGCAATATTTTTGAAGTCTGTTGAAAAAGCATGTCCTTAGTGAAAAACAGAGCAAGGGCGAGAAAGAAAAATGTTAAAGCAAATGTGTTAAGCCTGTAAGGTAAAGCACATGGGCAATGTATTGCAAGATGAATAATCTAATACATAGTTGTTGTCAATGACAAATGCAATACACTTGAAATTATTTTGACTTATAAAAAAGATTAATTAACCCATGGTTCCTCAGTTCTTGGTCATATACTAATACAGTTTGAGCATGATTCTTCTTTTCTGTCACTTAGTGGTTAGGCCCATCTCCAGGGAGAAAGATAAGAATTTAAATACCCGGTTTAAAGAGGGCCTTGAGCCCAGACCTCCTATGCTGTGCTTTCTAACTACTAAGAAAGATTATTTTAAAAGGCAGGTAATTGGATATGGTTTTGAGTGAAGGTGACAGGATCTTATGCATTCTAGAGGTTTCTGTGCTGTGAGTGTGTGCTATTTTGTGCCTTGAGCATGCCTACTGGAGACTCCCTTCTTACAATTTAGATGCAAGATGACGATTTTGGCATTGTAAACAAGCTTTGGTGTGAGTTGGGAGGCTTTACATTTAAAAACCAAAGTGCCTGTGGACTCTCAGGTACCTAAGCAGAAATCTCAGTTGTGGACTTTGGATGTTAAGGTGCCTCTGCTATTTTGGGACTGAGCAGCTCTGCAGTGTTTTGTACACACAACCCAAATCTGATACACAACATTTCCACTCTTCTTCTGTGCACTGTATGCAAGTAGTGACACTGCCACAGTCATCTGTTAAGCTTTGACTATAAGCACTGTTTGCTGCTGGAAGTGCTTCCCTACATGCAACATCCCCAGGAGCAGGAGTACATAGTAGCAAGTGTGATGCTGTGACTTAACTGGCCGAGCAGCAGAAGCCCTGTTTTGAATTCCAGTTCTTATAAATCAGTTCAAGTCTGTTTTCAAAGATCCTGCTCAATATGGTTGAGGATCATCCTCTGTATCTCTGTCTACTTCTGTGTTACTTTAGCCAGGCTATTGTATCTCTCCTTTCCCATCTTGCATGTTCTCAAAATGCCAGCCTAGCCACATCCATGGGACAATGGAGAAAGCCCCTGAAAAGTCCCTCAAATCTTTGGTAAATCAACTTTAACCATTTCCTACAAATTTAGCTTAAAATAAATAAATAAAAAGTGACAGATAGGATTAAAAACTCTACTTTTGCCAGAAGCAGATGGTTCTGGAGATCCTTCCAATTCATGTTTGGTGAGTGCTGTTTATCAGGTAAACATAAGATCTGATTTTAAAAAAGGATTTTGAAAACTTGTGGCAGGTTAGAGCAGTTGCTATGTGCATCTGACCCTGTGATTAGAGGGAGTAGTATTTTAACTGCTTTTGTAGTTCAGGAAGAATATCAGACAACTGTAATCTGTCAGAGATGTTTCTTTGTGACATTAGTGCTTTAGATTTGAAGGTTTATATCCTTTATGCATTTCCTTTAACCTCTTAAATATGACGGGTGTTCTACGTGCTAGCCCTGAACTGAACTCCTGAAGACTTTGTACTAGCAGCCTCTGCACTCAGGTTAGTATTTTTACATGGAATAAATCCAAGCTATTACTGTACAAAAATACATCATTGATGTAATTTACTACAAAAGTAATGTTTTTCAGATGCACAACTGTTCTGTGATCATAAGCCCATATATTGAAGTGCTTAAATACTCCACTAGGAACATACTGATCAGAGGTGAAAAATCAGCACAATCTTAGAGAGCAAGCTTTGCTTTCCCAGCCTTCTGAGTCTGCCTTTTCTCTTCCTACAGCTTGTGGATGTGACCTGGCTCAAGGAGGATTTTTTGTGAGACAGGGAGACTACATCTGTACTTTGGACTACCAGAGACTCTATGGCACACGGTGCTTCAGTTGTGATCAATTCATTGAGGGAGAAGTGGTCTCAGCACTGGGCAAAACCTATCACCCAGACTGTTTTGTGTGTGCTGTCTGCAGGTATGTTTTCTACATGAAGTTGTATTTAATTTAAAAACTAGAATTTGAAAGACCAATGCCAGGCATTTAAACTTATAGCTGGAAAAAGAATGAGTTCTGTTACAGCAGAACTTTAAAAAAAGTTATGCAAATTCTGAGTGCCTCTTCTTTTTTTTTTTTTTTTTCAAATGCTTTTTCTCTTTTATAATATCTTATGTGTGAGATTTTCAACATACTTGAGAAACTACCACTGCCCCTACTGTCAGACCTTTTGCCCCAAATCTTGCTTTATTTCTCCAGTGTCTGCTATTTTGTCTTTTGTTGGCTGAAGTGACAAAGGATTCCAATGCCAGTGACTGAGTCTTTAGTGAGCCAAGTGGATACTATATTAATAGATTTAAACTGAAGTTCTGCGGTGCTGCTTCCCAGGAGCTCTTAATAATCATGTCAAATAGGACAGAAAGATCCTGGACTCACAAATACTTAAGTCTGAGTTGGATTTCACCAAGGGTCTCCAGCAGTCTTGGAGGTGACAAGTGACACAGCACACAGGGTTTCCCCCTGCTCCCAGCAGCCTGGTGTAGTTCATTCCCACCTGGTACGTACAATGTTGCAGCCTGCTGTTGGTGGGGATGTTTGCAGGCTCTGCAGCACAAGCGATTGATGTCTGTTTGACCTGCATCTTAACCCTCTTTCTGTGGAAAGTTGGTTTCTTCTCCCAAGTAACAAGTGATAGGACAAGAGGAAATGGCCTCAAGTTGCACCACGGGAGACTTAGACTGGATATTAGGAAAAGTTTCATTACTGATAGGGTTATCAAGTACGGGAGCAGGCTGCCCAGGGAAGTGGTTGAGTCACCGTCCTTGGAGGTATTTAAAAGACGTGTAGATGTGGCGCTTAGGGACATGGTTTAGTGGGCATGGTAGTGTTGGATTGACAGTTAGAACTGATGATCTTAGAGGTCTTTTCCAACCTTAATGATTCTATGATTTTGTGATTCCATGAAATAGCCCAAACAAATCTGTTGAAGACTTCAGGAAGAAACTTTAAGTCCAACAAAACTTCAGGAAATGCAGTTATAGCAGTTTGGAGCAAATGGAAATGCTGTAATAATTTCTGTGGCTAAACTCGAGCCTTTAGGAGTACAAGAAAAGTAACCCCATGTTCAAAGGGAAAGCGTACACTGATGCACTGCATTGGAGATGCTACATTGTGTCCAGTTTTGGGCCCCTCATTACAAGAAGGACATTGAGTCACTGGACTGTGTCCGCAGAAGGGCAACAGCTGGGGAAGGGTCTGGAGAACAAGCCTTATGAGGAGTGGCTGAGGGAGCTGGGGTTGTTTAGTCTAGAGAAGAGGAGGCTGAGGGGTGACCTAATTGCTGTCTACAACTACCTGAAAGGAGGGCGTAGGGAGGCAGGTGTGTGTCTTTTCTCCCAGGTAACTAGTGACAGGGCAAGAGGCAATGGCCTTAAGTTACACCAGGGGAGGTACAGGTTGGATGTCAGGAAATATTTCTTCACTGAAAGGGTTGTCAGGCACTGGAACAGGCTGCCCAGGGAGGTGGTTGAGTCACCATACCTGGAGGTGTTTAAAAGGTGGCTAGGTGGGGTGCTTGGAGATACGGTTTAGAAGTGGACAGGTATGGTTGGACTCGATGATTTCAGAGGTCTCTTCCAGCCAGGCGATTCCATGATTCTATGGTATGTGCTAGTGATACTACAATCCAAAACCATTGTGTCCATGTCACTTTGGCCATTGCCAGCCAAATATGTCCAGCTCGTAGGGCTGCTGAGATGTCCTCCTGGGCTGATGCAGAAGCAGGACTTCAAATTCCAAAACAGCTGTATTTTATAGCAGGATATCAATTTAATGTATCAATTGCAGGAATAATTAAATAACCAGGTTAAGGGAAAGATTCTGACTGACAAGCCTTTCTTTTATTAAATTCTGTCTGTTCAAGTTTGCTGTGTTTAGTAGAAGGTTTTTTTCATTTTGGATACGTTAAACAAACATGAAGAGTAAAGATAACAAAAACCTTTTTTTTAATAGGAAGAAAAATTATTTAATTAGCTAATTGTGGATCTCATTAGTTAACTGCTGGCTGCACAAGCTCTTGGCATGCAGACTTTTAGTATTACAGCTCTTCTGCAGATGAGCACAGTTAATTCTTGGTACCTCTCTTCTTAGCACTGGTACCTTCTGTAAAGTGAGGTACTTCTTCATTTAAGAGAAAATAAAGAACTGATTGATTCCATTTTCCTGCTAAATGTGCTTGTATTCTCAGCTACACCATTAGGGTTTAGCATTCAGGCATAAATTATTTACCTGTGTTATTGTACTTAGCAACTTGGTACCTAACTTAAGTTTCAGTCAGGCTGTTGGCTACACTAACCTTCTGCTGTATTTAGTCAGTACTTCAGCTGGTGGTTTGGAGCTTGGTGGTACAATTTGTCTTGTTTCCCTGGGAATTCAGTGATTTGCCATATGACTGAAGTACTTATGTACCTAACAATTGAGGTGAACTGAACTGCAATAAGGTGAAAATACTCACTAGAACATACTACAAGTATCATGTGTATTGAAGACATAATAAAGCTTTTAAAAATGAAGTTCCTGTTACAATAGTATTTCATATATTATAAAAAATCAGAGATGTTCCATAACCTTTTGTATAACTAAATAGTTGGATTAAAAGCCGTTTCACTGATCAAGTTTGTAGTTGCTGCTATCTAAAACGTCAGTAGAAAGACACAGATTTGCTTCTGTTGCTTTCCTTAGAAGGTCACACAAATTCATGTTGTCTTCATCAGAGCCAACTAATGCCCTGCTGACTAGCAGGATTCAATTAGTGTCTCCCGGAGGTGTTGTAACACTGACTTGTGGTGCAGAGCAACAAAAGAATTCTGTCATCTGTTTATAGTAAAAACACTGAACCAGGTCATCAACTGCTTTAAATCAGCATTGCTTCAATTACCCCAGTCTTTGCAAGGCAGACATAATTTATTTTTTTTTTATCAGAGAAAGTGTCCTACCTAAACATCATCAGCCTTTGTTTTATTGAGTGATATCCTCAGTAAAAATAAGGTGGGCTGACTGTAAATACATGTGGTTTTAGCAGAAATTTGTTTGTTTGTTTGTTTAAAAAAATGAAAAGACAAAAAAATAGAGCCATTTGACATGAGGTGCAGGATTGTCAAGCACTCTACCTTAGTATTTTCTTTGGTGGGAAGAGTCGGGGTACCATTTGTGTCCTCGTTTCTTACACATGGTCAGAGACCCTAAAGAACAGGCCAAAAGCATGCTGTCTGAGGCAGTTGACTGATCACACACAAACTGCATCTGATGTTGCCTTTTGCAGCCAGACTTCAATGTGGGTCAGAAGTCTGACTTCCAGAACGATGTGAACTTGAGACGTGGTGACTGCCTGACAGTGGGGCTGATCCTGGTCTAATGGGAACCAAGCAAGGCTCTTACCAATTTTGGCAGGAAAACAGCAGCTGCAGAAGGCACTTTGCACTTGTGACAAGAGTCTCCAGAGTGGCGCAGATCATTAAGTGCTTTAAATTAGCACTTTTATAATGTGTATTTCTGTAGCTCTGAAGTAACACTTTTAAACTGTTCCTGTGTCGAATAGTAAACCAGTCACAGTTTTTTTCTTATTTTCAGAGAAGATAAGATTTGAATAGAAACTAGTGTGAAGTGTATATCGCTTCAATGCGGTAGAATCAGTGAGAAATTCTAATGTGCATACAGCTAACTGGAGCAGTGGGAAAAAGCCAGTGACACAAGCCCATTCGTTTTCTGGAGCTCCTGGTATTAGGACTTTTGAAGGCCACATGGCCCAGTGTCACAGGGAAGAGTTGTATTCCCTGGTGCCTTCTGCACTGTGGTGAGAAGCTGCTGCCCTCCTCTGTGTAAAAGGTTGTCAGAGACCCAGCTCATCCCTGGGCATCCCTTGGGGCTCAGGTGCTATTGCCCTGGGCTGCCACAGGTCAAAGTGTGAAATAAATGAATTCGTATTCAGAGGAAAACTGACTATGAAAAGTACATTATAAGGTATCATCCTATGTGATTATTTCTCTCTATCTTGCATTGACCAGTTGACTCTTAAACAAATTCAGGTTTTAACTGCATGTTTGCTCCGCTGGCATGAAGACTGAGGGTTTAGCTCCTTCTTCTTCCAGTGCTGTTTCTAGTCCAGTGAAACTGTTTTCTGGTGTTGTTGTTCATTACGATAATGCCTAAAACTAGGAAAGAGGAGAATAACAACAGATGCAAAATGTTGCAGGTTAGCTGCTTATTCTGAATTCCCAGGAAGCAGGTGAGTAATCTTATTCTTACAGTTTCATTAACTGGAAGGGATGGTGTCCTCCAGAGCGCTGCCAAAGACATTTCCCCCAAACGGTTCACATGTTTGTAAAAGTGAAATAGAAAGAAGGAGAAAATTAAGACTATCTGCATCAGTAGATGCTGAGTTTTATTAAAATTGTGCACACAGCTCTTGTATGGCTGTCAGAGACAGGACTGTACAGCTCCCAGCAGTATCTTATGCAGGATGGGAAAAGGCAGGAGATTGGGTCTTTCAAAAAGCAATGGGTGATCATGCCTTTGATATTGCTTTTGAAAATGTAATTTTCAGGAGAAGTCTTAGTGTGATAGTGAGTTCTATTAACATGTTAATGCATCTATACAGACCATACATATGTTAGATGTATGGTCTGTATAAGGTTGTACTGTACAAACACTCTATATTTTATTTGAATGTTACTGACGTGCTGTGTGTACATTGGGTATAAAAAATCTGGGGTTTAGTTTTAAGGGTTAACATAATTGGTAAAGTTGTGAGTGTTGGTTATTCACCCAGTTGGAGGAATGTATATCATTGTTAACTCTTTAGTTTCGGTATTCTTATAATTAAAGATTGAAAAAATACAGCTTTTTGTGACAAGTAAATGATGAAGAGGGAAGGACAATTTGACTCTTACTTAGCTGGGGGGATAAATTAGCATGTATGTTCT